ACATTTTCTTTTATTAACACTAATAATATATGCTATTCTAGATGATAGTGGATGTCTCAACAATTTGTGGCGCTGCAATGTTTATTATTATGTAAATGTCATCCAACACAGAAGTTATTTGATTAAAAAATTCAAACTATGGCAATGTTTGCTTTAAATATGGGATTTTAGCTGCCTTTTATGTCACAGAAATTGTATGGCAGTGTTGTGTCTTTAACAAAATAAAGATGATCTAAAGTCTTATCTCCACCTGAAAATTCCAAATGCCTGTTTGCATATTTAAGAGTGCCAACTTTACATTTCTTCAACACTGAATGAATGATGCTTTCAAATGTGTTAGAAGATGTACAGTATAGTTACACACATTCTGCCACATTGATATTATTTAGGAAATATGTACATTCAAAATTGACCTGAAAAAGAATGTTAAGTAATTGCAGTATAAAAATGTGCATTGTACTTTTTACATTTTTCACCAATAGGCATCACAATTAAAGTGACTTTATCACTATACAAAATATTTTCAGCAAAGGCATGCCCCTTAAAAAGAACAGTGTACATTCTAACCTTTCTGGCTGCCCATGCTGCTGAATATTGCTCCAATCCTGAGAAATGCCCCCTCCCCTGACACTTCTTGGTGTGTCAATCTCCTGGCTCCCTTAAGCTCTTATGGGTTCCTCCTGCTAACCTCTACCTCACTAATGTCTTCCTGTAATGACACAGAAGTCAGAAAGAAGAATCAGTGAGACCTGCAGGTGACTCATCACTCACAGTAGTATTGGTTTCCCAGAAGATTTTGTGGAGCCATGGCATAGGATCCGAGCAGCATTCAGTAACACAGGAAGTGGAAAAACTGAGTATGTTCTTTTACAGGTATGCCTCCCATGAGAACAGTTTGTGTTGTGGCAGGATTGCCTTAATAATGCAAACTTATTTAAAACTAAAGTTTGGAAAAATATATTTTGAGGATACAGCAAAAAACACATTAGATATTTGTATTCCATGCCACTTCTTGTAAAAATCTTCCTCTCACTGACCCCCCCTCACAGCTGCCAGATATTACACCCAATGGTGCTGTGAGGGACTAAAGTGAAAAGAGTCTCTCAGCAGCTACTGTCAAAAGTTTTGGCACTGGCCAGTCCCCCTCAACTCTCTCCTCCATACAGATCTGCTTCTACTATGATCCTACAATGTTTTGAGTTCTGTGAATGGAGGGGCAGATTCGGTCATTCAATTGCTTTATCCTCAATTCACAGGACTTGATAGATTTTGGGATATTAATTATGGGACCTGTATGATGTGTGTTTGATTGTTTGATTCAGTATCCCCCCCAAAAAAATATTTGACTAAACTTCAGCTTTAAAGTGTGTTTCCACGTTTGCAGCCTAGTTTGAGAAACCCCAATTACATGTTTATTATGTGTTCACATTAACACAGAATATCTAAAAATCTTATTTTAAAAAAGGATTTTTTTTACCTTTCTAGCAGTTTGTTTGAAGCCTTATTTAACATAGAGTAACACAGGACTTTCTTTTTCAAAGTTCATTCATTTACAATGCCTTGAGGCCTTTAAGCCAGCACACTACAGACAGGGTTAATTATTTGAAAGAAAACTCCCCTCAGCCCCCTCAAACAGTTAGAACTAAAGTAGGGCACAGACGGTTAGAATTTTGAACAAACTAAATACTAAATACTAAATTTTGGAAAATTTGGTTGACTTTCTAATCATTGATAGGGTCAAATAAATGATTGATTTCAGCCACAGTGATACAAAAATTAAAGTAGCATGTTGGAAAATGTTTCATGATCGAATGAAATTCTAACAGGGAATTTGTTTTTGTAATTCAGAGAACTCCATTCATTCCAAAATAAAATAATAAATCAAAATCAAACAAAATTTTCAATGACAATCACCTAGGTTTTTTTTACTATAGAGCTGAAGAAAGTAGCCATTCAGCCAATCCTTCGGCTTCAGAAACCCTTCGGTTCAGCCGAACCAAAAGGGCTGTTGTGAAGGCTATTCACAATAGCCTGCACAGCAGCTGATCTCATATGCTACAGCTTTGCAGAGTTTAAGACACAGCCGAAGTGGGGAGAATGGTCCACTAAAAAAAAAAATAGTAAAAAATAGTTATAAAAATAATGGCACGGGGTCCGCTTTAGGTCAGGTAGGAATGTTAGGGGGGACCCGGAGATGTAAAAAATACAAATGTGTGGGGTTCCCCCGGGCATTTCATACCAGACCTTTTAGGTCTGATAGGAACTTTAAGGGGGACCCCAATGCCAAAAAAAGAAAAAAAGTGGTCCTCCTAAAATTCTAAAAAAGACCCTTAATCTGAGCACTGGCCTGGCAGGGTGGGAGAAAGGGGGATGAGCGAGCGCCCTCCCTCCCTGTACCATACCAGGTCACATGCCCTCATCATTGGGAGGGTGCTTTTCCAGGGGGGTAGCCCCTGGAAAAACACCTTGTGAATAAGTAAGGGGTAGTTGCTAACCCTAATCATTCACCAAAGGGTTAAGTAAAATGTAAATAAACACAACGTCTTAGAAAAAATCCTTTAATTGAACAAAAACACAAATAGTTTGTGACAATTCCTTTATTGAAAAAAAAATCATCCAACGATGTAATCCAAAGGTCAAGCATGTCATCCAGTGATGTAATCCAGCTATGTAATCCAGCGATGTAATCACGATGAATGATGCCCACTGACTCGTCGAAATAAAAAAAGGCCGCTCCTGACAAACTCCCACCGCTAAATGACAGATTTTACAGCTCCTGCCTGAATTTAAACGAAGTGGTGGAGCTAGTCACATGACCTCACGGACTCACACTACCCATTTGTTTTCATGCCTTGACAGCTCACTGACCTAAAATGGCATGAAAACAAATGGGAAGTGCGAGTCCCGTAACATTAAATATTCTTTTGGGATTTTTCATACAAACATTTGTTCAAAAATCTACCCGTGTATCTCCTACTTAAGTTTCCTCCCACACTCCAAAGACATGCTGGTAGGTAAATTGGCTCTTGTATGTATGCATGTAAGATAAATACCTTATATTGTAAGCTCCTCGAGGGCAGGGACTGATGTGAATGTAAAGTGCTGTGGAAATTGTCAGTGCTATTTAAATAACTGTAATACATAATTATTATACCTCTGAGAACATTATGGGAAATGAGCAAAGCTCAGCATACTCTTAAAGGAGAACTATGGGGTCAGTGTTTTTCCCCATAGTTCTCCTTACGGTAACGGGAGGACACAAACTAGCGTCCTCCCGTTACCCTAAGCTCAGTATACCGCGTGCTACATCTCGCGGTATACTGAGACGACGCAGCCGGAGCGGATCCCGCCCAGCTGCGTGAGTGACAGCTGGCTCTGCCTATCTAGAGGCAGAGCCAGCTGTACCCGCACCCTCCCCCGTCCGTTCCGCCAGTCAGCGCTGGCAGATCGGAGAGGGGAATCCAGCCCCTCCCCCTGTCACGGCAGAGAGCCGTGACAGGATCGAGAGGCGAGCGAACCCGGTATGTGTTCGCTCACCTCCCGATCTACTGAGCTGACCTGTGACAGTCTCATTGTCACAGGTCGGCAAGAACTATGAGGTGAGTGGAAATCACTCATCTCATAGTTCTCCTTTAAGGAAGGCATAGTCCCTATCAGGTTTGTTAGGCATACACATAGAATAAAAACAAGATTTCTGATGATCAATTCCATTTTAGCAGAAATAAATATAATCCATAAAGGGCTCCTCTCTGATTGTATCAATGTTTTGGGTTGGATTTGTTTTGGAATGTTGGGCATCCTGCATATCACCAAATGTTGCAAATCTCCAACCTGAATTAGTGAACGCAAACTCTGCTCATCCTGTAGTGTGTGTTGATTTTTTAAATTGTTTTTTTAGAAAGGCATCATAATTAAATAATAGTAGAGGAGGGAAATTAATTTCTACATTAAACCTTTGCTCAATTCTTTGTGGTCTGAGGAAATACTGAATTGGTACATATTGGTTTTCTACAATAATTATCTATTTATTTAAATGTAAAGGTCAAATCTAACACCATTTTCAAACATCTCCACAGAACAGCTCTATATAACCAATTTTGTTCAGAATTTTCTTCCCTTTTTGATTTTAGAGTTGTCATCACTGGCCATTATAAACCTTGCTTTATTTGCCTTCGGTCTAATAAAATATATGGATAGATATATCTTCAGAACAAGACCAAGAACAACAAGGAAGGCATTGAGAATGCCTATACATGTGAAGTCTGCTTTTTGAGGGGAATAATATGATAGGGGGTTGGCAAGGGGATGGGTCTGTAATGACAGCATTTAAAACACAAGGCAAGCAAAAGCAAGCAGTAAAATGTGTCATATTGCAAAGCTAATGTGAGACAACCCCTTTCCACACATTAGTTAAATATATTTAGTATTGTTCTTCACTTCAGAAATAGTGTGGTCTAGAATTCACAATTGTCTGAAAAAGAAAGCTATTTCTCAGCCAGGTAGCTTCCTACATGATAAATTATCTGCGGGGTGGGGGGGGGAAAGAATTAGCTTTGGTCAAATTTGTTTATCATTCATTGATGACTACCACTAGCTCCCTGTACTTTCACAGGTAATACAGAAAATGTATTTGTCAGCAATGTACTTGTAATAATTCTGTGACTTACACAGTAAATATGATGTTGCTGAATTTCTTTTTTCTTTGGAGGCTCATTTACCCTGGCATTGTTGTTGCATTTTCCTAATGCTGCTTACATGTGTATGTGCTCAAGCCCTTCATGGAGTCTCTAGTAAGTTTAGTTAGTGGTTTTAAAGCAAAATTTTTACTGTTACATTTTATATTTATTTCTTAAGAAATGGTTATAAAACATTATCAAACTATTTGTACTTGTATTATATATTGTTTTAACGTTGTGATTATTGTTACATCTTAAATTGAAGAACAATTAGAATTCAAATTTTTTTTAATAATTTGTTTTAAATATACCCATTGCCTTCAGCTGAATGTGGAGCAACAGTCACAGGAAATGAAGGAACACTGCTGTCTCCAAATTTCCCAGGAAACTATGACAACAATCATGAATGTATTTACAGAATAGAGACTCAACCAGGAAAGGGAATCAACTTAAATGCTAGAACCTTTCAACTGTATGATGGGGATATTCTGAAGGTAAATGAAAAAAATATGTTTTTGAAAATGTTGTTTTATTATGCTTTATGTGAAATTGTGAACTTTCTGAATATGCGTTAATTATAATCCTTTATAATCCATTAAAAATGTTAAAATCTTTTTATAGTGAAACAACAGGCTTTGAAATAAACTTTCCATAGTAAGTTTATCAGAAATATTAGAGTGCACAACATTGTGAAACATAGTTATACAGGCTTACAAAGTTGACTTTCTATACCTTTTGTAGTTATAATAGGTTCAAAGCTTGAGTGCAAATTCACAATTGTGTTTACTTTTTTTTAAATCATATTTAAAACAAAAAGTGAAGGTGGGTAAAAAATGAAAAATATACAGCAAGGGTATTAATCGCTTTTTGTGTAATTTGTTTTATTAGTTCTTAACTTTTCAATTTGGCTGGCTTATGGTGACCTTTTCATGTCAAATTCCCACAAAAAGGGGTTGAGTTACTACAAGAGTTTCCTAAGTTTCAAGTATCTAATTATGTGCCAAGGAAAATCTACCTACATATGATTGGATAGTCAAAGTAAACAAAACATCTTTCTGCTAAGTGAATATTATCTATACTACCAAGCAAGGTCTTCTTTAGTGGGAAAAAAAGCCTGTGGGTAAAACAAAATAGTAACTACACTTACCCTTCTATAGAACATACTTCTTTGTTTGTTTCTGGAAACCTCATAGAGAATGCATAGTACCTAAAATATCATGAAAAGATATGCCAGCAAAGTGCAGGAGCATATTTTTGTGAGATTTAAAGTTCTCACCATTTTCTAAGATCTCGCTGAAAGAATAGTGATGTGTTCTGATGTATGCTTACCTTTGGCTTTGGTAAGTGCCAAAGGTAAGCATACCAAGTAATTTTTTCCCCTTCTAAATTTTATTAAAGTGTTTTGGCATGGGGGCCATGGAAAAAATAAGCAGACCGTGTGCTTGTAGAAAAAGACCAATTGGAATGTATTAAGTGCACCCTGATAACTGGTTGCTTGAAGGGGTGGGAGGTTTGTATATTCCAAAAAGGGGGAAGATGGTGGTGTGCTGCTCTTTGGTAAGCAGGTAAGGGTATCTTGCAGTGGAGACAGGTAAAAACACATAAGTTCCACAGCCTAGCACAAATAGATAAAAATATGCCAATGGAATGTTTGAGAGTAAAAATGTTGCACTCACTGAGATGTTTAGTTTTGGAGAAAAGGATAATGAGGCCATATTTATTGTGGTAGTAGTCCCATTCAAGATGCACACATCACCTTCAGCTACATACCACCAAGTGGTCTCTGAGCAGGACAGAACCCCCTTCCACAGACCGACAATTGGGGTTACACATTATCCTTTTCTCCAAAATGAAACATCTCAGTGAGTGCAACATTGATACTCTCAAACATTCCTTTGCCATATTTTTAACTATTTGAGCTAGGCTGTGGAGCTTGTGTGTGTGTTTTTACCTATTTTGTTAGTGCACAGCCAACAATTAGCCTATTACAGTCTTAAAACTACTTTAAAACATCTTACATTCATATTTTCTATTGAATGACATGCATTCACCAAAATGGTGACACATTGCTGAAATATCATTTTCCATTAAATTTTTGCAAAGCAAAACATTGTCAATTTTGCTCATCCCCATTTTGGAGTATCATAAAAATTAATTCTACCTGCACTACACAGATGTATTAGGAATGTGTCAAGAGCGTATAAAGAAGCAGCTGTGTGCATAATTCCCAGAGGATCATCACAGTGACCAAGTCAGACTCTGAAATTCACAAAGATATTATACTGTGAGACAACAATTAAAGCCCAACTCAAACTTGCTAACCCCACCCTTCCACCTATCCGCTTAGGTGCAAGCCCACAGACTCATAGTGTACATGTACCCTGACTATTGGCAATAAAGTATTTAACTTTTCTTAACAATCAGTAAAAGAGCATTAAAACAAACCATCCCTGACCTTTCTAGTTGTGTTTACTTTGATGTGATCTGTGAGGATCTTCGGGAATGAATTACTACAAAGATCCTAAAGTCTGGCTTCAGTCAGTTTCTAACAGCTTACAAACACCCGCTTTGTGTTTACTTTATAGTGCTGACTGGCAAGAACAGCTGAGATTTCCCTGCCTTTATTGTGAACTTTAAAGCTTAATTTCTCCACAATGTAAATAGCTACAAAGGTGAATGAGGGCCTGTTTAAAAGTGCTTGTTCAGAATATGTAAATAATTTAATGTGTATATTCTGCACACAGGTTAACTTTAAAAAAATCAATAAACATACCTTTTTTACAGGTGTCTCTAGTCTGGTGATGTCACAAGTTCTGTTTACCCTCTTCACCCTCCACCAGTAGGTAGATCGTGGTCACATAATGATGTAGTTTGGCTCTCAAGTATTTTCCTGTGAGTCCAGGGTAAGGGGCAGAGGCTCACGTGATGAATGGCAGGTCAGATCCTACCGTGCTGCCACCAATATGTGATGATACCACTCCCAGCCTCACCCTGCACAAAGATTTTCCAGCTCATGGGATAATAATCTAAGGCCAGTGGACTGAGGGCAATAGTCACTGGGGTTGGTTAACTCTGCAGTTAAACCTTTAGACACACAAACAATAATTGCCATTATGTGTTCTAATGGAAACACGAGTGTTCCTAGAAAATGCTGTGACAATTCTGGGCAAAGCACAGGTTAATTTTAACAAATATGATATGATTATTAACATAAACCTAATAATTTTCATATGTTTATTTTAAATCATTAAAGACAAATATTGTTTCCCTTTAATATTTTAACACAAACATTCAAATTTTTGCAGACAGATAATAAGGATGCATATAAGGAACACTGCAGTGAGGGAGATGAGCAGAATAATAGTAATACGAACTAGCTCAAACTTATCCAGTATCATTTTTATAAACTTTGAGGGCATAGCTGAGGTTTTTAGGCAGCACACGGCAAAGCTCTCTCATACATATACATACTTTTTTTTCCCAGGTATTCAGTTGTCAATAAATTGCTTATAAAGGATACATTTATATATTTTTGGGGGTTTCGTGTGTGTGTGTTTTTAACTTGTGTGAACAGAATATCTGAAGTTTATTTGGACAACAAATAGTATTGCTACCATGTTTTTCTTTAAATTGTTGTATAGTAGTTTATTTCTCATACCTTAATCCAAAAGTCACCGCATACATCAGGTAAAGATGCAAGATGACAGCTTAGCTTCAAATTTCCAATTTCCTTTTAATAGAAGCTGACAGGAAGGAACAGAGTGGACAGTTTCTTTTTTCTTGCTCATTGATGATCTTAGAAAAGTCACACTCTACTGAAATGTCACAATTTTTTTGCAGCTGTATAAGTAGATTATCAAAAAAGGCTGAGGTTATGAAATCTCTAAGGAGGCACACAGGTATAAATATTAATTGTATTGGTGAAGAAAAGGTTTAGAAATGTTTGAAAACATAATTGATTGTACAAGTTATGACAGCAAGTGAAATGTTTGGATACGTTATCTGACCTGCCAAAATGTAACACTTATAAACAATTAATCTTGTAGGTACTATAAGAAAAAAATACTTGAAGTGAATGTGCATTTAGGTATCTTTTTTACAAATCTTTTTTTCCTATTTTCTACCTACCCTCAATGAACGCTTTTTCTCTTTTAGGTTTATGATGGAAAAGACAGTTCTTCTCGACTTCTAGGTGCCTTTACAAAAAATGAGCTATTAAAGGTTATAGTCAATAGCACATCAAACCATTTGTGGATAGAGTTTAATACAAATGGATCGGACACTGACATTGGATTTCACCTCACTTACAGCAGTAAGTAGCCCAAATCATTATTTGGTAACATGTATTTTCATTGATATTTTCTCTTTTACAAAATTGCAATATTTTTGAATTTCCTTGTCATTATTTCTCCCACAACAGATACTGTATCTAATTTCCAATGCTTAGTTAAAATATGCACATTGCAATGGACAGTAAATAAATAAATGTGTAACAAGTAACCTTGCTGTAAATCTCCTAATCCCAATCCACCATCTCAAGCAGCACCCTTGACCAGACAAGTGCCTCTTTTCCAGCTGTCTCTTTTTCATCATTACTTTGCATCATTACATCAGAATGCACTGTGCTGTGATTGGGTAAAGTCTTGCACCTAACCTGTGGTCAGGTGCATTGCTTTACCCAATCAGGGCTTCACAAGGCACTGTGCAGTACACAGTGCCTTGTAGGGCACTCAGCAGGTGAATAGCCTGCCAAACATCCTGATAGTTTGTGTGTTCGCCAATGATGTACACTGTTTAACATATGAGGCCTACAAGAGATTGTTAAACTACTACCTATGTAGTGTAATATGCCTTCATTATTTATGTGAAAAATATGCATTGTGCAGTGTTTTTTGTCCTCAAAAACTGCATGAGGTATGTGATATAGCAAGCATAATGCCTACAAGAGATTGTTGAATGATTAAATCTGTATAATATTCCTTGTTTAATGTAATATATACACACTTTAATGTGGATATTTGGCAGCTACATTAGTTGTGTCATTTTTACCACGGGGCCTACTCCTTCTACTGCAATGCTGTTTTATAGTCTTTACCATATTATTTTTTTCTGCGACTTATATATACTTAAATGTGGGTTAGTGGGATATAAAGCTGCATGATGTGTGCCTGTTTCAAAATGCAGCCTTTTCCAACTGCCTCAGTGCTGTCTATGGAGTCTGTACAATATTTCCAGCTGTTGCATCTAAAATAATACACTCTATTTTTTATTTGATAATAAAATTCTGCGTAGTCTGTGAAATTTCAGCGTCGAAAAAAAGGCTTATTTAGTGTGCTTGGAGTCTTTACATTATGTTTGACTTTTGTCTCAGATCGAATACCATCTACATTGTATTTTATAATAAGACCTGCCCCGTCTCTCCCTCTTCAATTGTGGCATAGAAAAAAAAACGTACAAAATGTTCAGTGAATTTATACTATATTTCTGGATGCTGTTTCTGAAATAATACCCTCTAAATTTTATTTCATTATAAAATTGCCTAATTTTTCCCTCATTGGAGCTCCATCAAGCTCCCCATGCCCTTTGTTTTGCAATCCCTTCTCTATTAGCTTTGCAAATGGTCAAAGTTGACTTTCAAGATTCATCCCCTACATTGACTTTAGTTGAATTTTTGTTTATGATGTCCAAAAACTTTACACTCCTGCTGAGCTCACATGTTGTGCAGCTCAGCAGGAGTGTAACAGTGCATGCTTCCCTTTGAAACAATGAAGAAATAATGTATATATTTAAAATAATAATAAAAACAATCATTTTAGTATGATAAAATTGACTTTAAGAGGTTTGTTAATGCCATCCTAGTAAGGTGGGTAAAACTACAACTTTCCAAAATGGGATACATTACAATTTTTACTTCAGATTATGCTAGTGTCCAGGATTTTTTGAATTGGAAAGATTTAAGAAACTAACTAGAATTTAAAAAGCTGAATATAACAGTATATCATTGGAGTCTGTCACAACTGCTACATCCATTTAAAAATCCACAGGGTCCATTGCAGTGCCGTGCTATACAAATATATAGAAGAGTTGTAATTCATTCAAGCAGAAGTTTGCAAAAGCCGCATGAATGAAAAATGTAGCAACACCTTATTGGATATTTTTCTGTTCCCCATGGACTATCCCGCTGTTCCAATCTCCACTGCCTACTAATGGAATACTGACTGAACTGTTAGAATATATACTGCAGTAGCTGGTCATGTACTTTCCTATTCATTGACTCACAAATATATGCATGTTTCATAGTTTTTAAAGAGTTTCTACTAACATAAGTGAACACATTTTAAGATAACTTTTTCTTTTGTTAATTAATATAAATGCTAATAAAATAATACTAGTCAAGACAATTATAAGTAAACTTATATAAAATAAGATAATATCCATTTTCTTTTTATGTTCATTGCTTCCACTCCCATGGCACTGTGAAAACAATCAGCAGTGACTTTTGGGGGTCCATTTAAAATTGCATGTACAATCAATCCGTGCAAAGTAACTAGTTGTTGTGAGAATGAGGCAAAACTGAAATGTCTTAAAGCTATTTTCTCTACTGAACAAATGTCCTTCAAATATTGTGGGCAGTAGTGAATCTGGGAAATACTGTATTATGTCCATTAAGTTAATAGCGACTGATACAATGAAACAATTCTAGAGAATGGTGGATGAAATTATAAGATAAATGAAACCATGCAGAAATTCCCATAGTAGCAATGGTTACATTTCATTGTACAATTAGCTATGCAGATAGTTTTTCTTTTTTTTAAAGACCCTTTGGTATGTCTGTTTTGCAATAGATCACACAATGTGAAACATTACTGCATATGTTATAAGTCTATTATAACTATCTATAACTCTCTATCAATCTGCTGTAACTAACTATACTAGAACCCTCTCTCGCTATCTCCTACAACACACTACATAGTACAGGTGCAAGACTGTAGCCAATTACCGTTTCAGACGGCGCAGTGCATTGTGGGATGTTCCGCGGTCGAACAGACCGCGGACATCCCATAATGTTCGGCGTTCGGTGAACGCTAGAACAGGCTATGTTTGAGTCGAACCTATGCGCGACTAGAAACATGCAGCCCATCCCTAATGTTAAGGACCACACTAGCAGAAGTCTAGAGTGGTGCTAAACTTGCTCACATATCCTCATAGTGCTGGCCTTTGGAATACAGCTAACAACATCAAACAGATAATTATGTATTCTGCTTAACAATTCAACCAAAAACATAATATTAGATGCAGGTAATTAACTATTCATATGACTTAATAATTACCAAATGTCTTATATTTGCAATGGGGAAATCGCAAATGGAATCTGTTTGCAATGAACAAAACCACTTTTAGTTAACCATTGTTTCAAGGATAAATAACAGCATATAAATTTCACTTTTTTTTCTATTCACCTGCATATTTCCACATAAATCTTGTCTCTGGAGAATGACAACATTCAGGAACTGAGGCTATCATAATTCACAAATTGTGTAAATCACAGCAGACATGTTCTTCCTACATATGTTTAGAAGAAGACAAAAACTGCAGTTTGTCTTGGTTTTAACTAAATTCTCCAATCACTGTGCATAATTACATAGAGGAGATTAACATAGCTTTACTGATCAATATTTTAATAGGCTGCAGTTTTCTTTTTTTTCACAGTCAAATATCTTTTACATTGCATAGCTCAATAAACTGAAGTTGTGTTGACATTAAAATAATTCTAAAAATAAAAATCCAGTTTGTTCTGTCATTGATTTGTAATATGACAAGAATATTTTAGACTATAAATAATAAAAAAAGATTAAAATGAGTAAAAGTTAAAGTATCTCCTAAAAACAGCAGGTTGGCATAGCTAATTAGGTACATGTGGATTTATTAACCCCTTCCTGCCTGCAATTTATATAATACCATTTTACATTCTGCTACTGGTGAGGCAGCACAGTGACTTAGTGGTTAGCACTTTTGCCTTGCAGCACTGGGGTTCTCGGTTTAAATCTCAGCCAAGACACTAACTCGGGTCTCAATCTTAGCTGTCATTGACAGCCGGGGTTTGCACTGATGGTCTGAGTCAGCTCTGTCATGGTCATCACATGCAGGCTGAAGGCTTCATTGACAAATATAAAAGGGTTAGATCAAACTAGTCACTGTGTTGGAAAAGATGGATTTATCTCTAAGGTCCTGACTGAATGTTTGTAATAAAGCTAATTACATTTCTAAGGTAGATCTGCTGATGAGCATTATGTAGATCTGCTGAGTAGCTGCTTTGTATGAAAAGAAGAATGTAAATTTGTTAAAGATACATTTTATGTTTTGAAAAGGATTTTGCATTGTAAAAAAAAAAAAACATGATTGTATCAGCCATGCTTTAATTGAACATTTTACAACTGTTCAAAAAGTCCTCTGACAATAACAGGACACATTTTCTCTGCTTAATAGTTCAGATTTAGCAACATTTGACCTTGTACTAAGAGCCACAGAGCTAATTTCTCAGTTGCAGGTGTACTGACTTACCAGACTAATGCAGAGCTCAAGCAAATTGCTGAATATTAGACATGTGCGATTCGGTTCGTTCCGAAATTCGGTTCCGACTAATTTTCGGAAATTCGGATGCATCCGAATTCCGAATTACAGCTAAGACGAATGCAAACGAATCCGAAATTCACGATTTCTCGAAATTTGTTATTGGACGAATTTTGTTGCGGCAAAATGACATTAGGGGAAAAACTTACAACATTTTACCTCTACAACACATCAATGCTTAAAGTACAGAGGCTATAGTAGTGTACTGTAAAAAAAAAAGTCATTTTTGTTCCCCCTAATGTCATTTTGATGCAACAAAATTAGTTATTGGACGAATTCTGTTGCAGCAAAATGATTTTTTTTTACAGTCTGCAGAAGATGAAAAAAAATAAGCGTGAGGTTTCTCCCCAATTCATACCAGACCTTTTAGGTCTAGTAGGAATGTTAGGAGGGACCCTCCCCTCCTTATAACACAAAAAAGTGCGTGGGGTTCCCCCCAAAATCCATACCAGATCCTTAAGGTCTGGTAGGAATATTAAAGGGGGACCCCAGCCCCAAAAAATGGGGGGGGAAACATGGGGTCCCCCTGACAGTCCTACCAGACCCTTGATCCGAGCACAAGCCCGGCAGGGCAGGAAAGGGGGGGACGATCGAGCACCCCCCTCCCAGCGCCTTACCAGGCCACGTGCCCTTCAGCTGTCAAATGCTACATATTGCATTCATATATATCAAATGCTTCTA